TCTTATTGCTTTAAGATTCACCTCCATGTCCTACTGTCCCAGAGGGACAACTCAGTCCAAGAGCTGGGCATCCATGGCACTGTACCATATTTAGAGAACATCAGAGGTGAAAGTTAGTTTCAACATTCCCCTAACTATACATGGATGTTAGAGATGTCATAGGTGGTGGTTACTGGAAACCGTGGACTCTAATCTCTACTATTTGAAATATGACCAGAGATTGGAGTAGACTGGGGGGACACACCTCACTTGAGGAATCAGGTTGATGAATACGGTAGAGCAAATTGGGCAGAGGCTATTTTACTGGCAGTAATAGAGATAAGAAACTACAGGAAAGCTTTACCATAACCTTCCTCATATCATAACATCATGACTGCTGTCCTCATGACATAAATTATTGAAATTCTGTTCCTAAGAATTTATTTTGATATTCTTTCCTGAGAAAACGGAAAGTTAAAACACTCTGGCCCTGATGTTTCTGAACATACGGGGCCATAATAAGGACAATTAAACCACACATAGAAAGGGCTGGAATCTGAATACAACCAGTGAAGAGAGACCTGTCAGTGAGGCAGGCCATCTGATGGTGAGTTCACTGTTGAATATCAGTCATGACACATACGCTCAGGGTGGATTTCCACACTACTGTGCTGATGCCTTATTTGCCCCACAGCTGCCCTCACAAATCATGAGGGAGAAAACCCTACCATTACTGATTATCTAATCACATCCAAGGGTTTTGAACATCCCCTGACCCTGGTTTTTGGATCACTTGGGAGAGATCCACAGCACAGTGTTGCCCTAAAACTGTTAAGAAATACACTTCCTGGAGGCAAAAGAATGGTCCAGATGAGAGTTCTACCGTATCAGTCTCTGCTGAGAGTCGGGTCCGATGATTTAGGCTTTTCATCTCCTCTCTCAGAGGAAAAAGCAAATCTGATGTTGTTATGCCTGCCCTTTGCTGGCTGGCATACTAAGTTGTTCTCAAGGTGCTCCTAAATATGTGGTAAACAGGCATTTTATATAAAAACATTTTGTATGTTGTAATAGCACCTTCACCCTCAGGTGTTTTGCAGCAACTTATGATATGGCTGAGTTCTAAAGCACTGATTGGTTCTCCTCAGGAAATTACTACATTTGGGAAACTTTAGAAAATACTTTCATTTCCCTTTCCCTGTGACAGGAGAGAAGTTCCTATCTGGACTCTACTCATGGTCCCCGGGTCTCTTCCTATACTTGAGCTTCCTAAGTCTGAGGGGATTTCCGAGGACCCTTGAATAAGGTCTTCTCAGTGGCATCAAATGGTGTGGAGCCACCGTGCTAGTAAAAGTCCAGTCTGTAAATAGAAGTCCCTGGAGACACTCTCAACAGAACTGTTTGTTACAATTTTTCTATATAATAGAGACTTCCATCTTTAGACTGTTAGGAAGCCTGAAAGAGCACAGGTCAGTGCAGACCCCTAACTCTGAGGGGTCAAGAACCTGTGGGAAGCCTCTGTGGACATCTCAGCTCTTCTAGAGCCCCAAGGGAAAGACTGTCTTGGGAACACAAGGCTGTTGCCAAGACTCCTGTGTGTGAAACCATTGTGTGCACCACCCGAGATAGCTTCAGTCTACCTGCCACCTCCGAAATCTCGTACTACTAACTTTCACTTGCAATGTGTAGGCCACATCCAGATCCCAGGGCAAAGAGACTCTTACGTCTATTCCCTGTAGTACCCACAAATCACAGAAGCTGAGAGGAAAATTACTAAAATATATTTACATCTTGATACCTCTAGATCTCTAGCATCTGTTTATCTCCACCATGGTTCACTCAGGCTCTTACCACAGTGGGTAACCTAGAACCAGAAAAAATATTAATTGGGCTCTTAGGGGAGGGTGTGGACATGATAGTTTTCCACGGAGTCAGGTTATGTCTGGGACCTCACCGCTTCATGTGTGTGTGGTGTGTGTTCAACGAACCTCCAGCCCCTTCTTTTGGCTTCCTTCCATGCCTTTTGCCCTTAGCATGCAGAACTTCCTATCAGAGTTGATGGTGGGATTGGGGAGGAATATCAATCCAAGCATGTCCTTCCCAAATCTACATGGAGAAACTTTACTGGTTCTGTTTCATTTCTCCATCCCATCTTGAGAGGTGGCAGAAGCTAGTGTTCTGAAATAAATTTCTTTCAGTGTCAAGAGTGCCAACTGTTGATATTAATCAATGTGCTAGAGTGGCGTGGTCGTGGGCCTCCCTAACCTATTCTGTGTGAATAAAGAGACCATGGTGCTTTGGCCCATCTCTAACTTGGGAGAATGACAGTATGTGAATTTGATTCATTTTCTCTTCACCTGTACCTGAAATATATTCTTAAAAGTCTGAGTTTTTAATGGGCCCTGGGGTTGTGAAATCACGCTTCTCTGCTTGGGTAATCTTTGTCAATAAGAACATGCAGATTAATGCCACACACACACACACACACACACACACATACACACACACACAGACGCACACACACTCATTAGAGGAGTACTTCTCGTGATGTTGTATAGGAATTATAGCACAACATAGGATTTATTTGCTAAATTTTAATAAGTAGAGCATTCTAAAATTTCCTGTACATTGCACAAACATATCTGAATTCAGCCATTAAACTGTTTGGAACAATGTAAGAATCAATTGTCCCAATTGGATTTAAGATAAATCCTTTTCTACCCCCTGCTGGAAATTTTTGCAGGCAGAAGTGAGTTGAGTTCATCTTACCCACCTTCTAGTTGGGATGGATTCAGAGAGAGGGAGGAAGACGAAAAGGCAGGACATGTCTTAGTGAGAATAAAATGCAGAACCCTCGCTGAGAATTTAAGAAGAATACAGGTAGTATGAAGATGAAAAGTTAAGCAACATGAAGATGAATCACTAGGCCTGCTGACCGACTGGATTAGGATAAGGTGCTAGAGAGTGATTAAAAAGAATATACCTAGTTCATGTGTCAAGTGAATGTCATAAATGACTGAAGGAAATTTTTACACAAAAATAGACTTTGGTGCAGGAGGTGGGGCTTGCTTGCACCAAGTGTGGCATGGGTCCAGCACAGAGTGTGAAGGAACATGTCGGTGAACACAAGAGGACAGGGAGAACATGAGTGGACAAATGGCATATCAAGAACAGATCATTGCAACACTCTATTGGGATAATACATGCGGAGTGGTCAATGCTGTAAACTATTTTAGAATAACCAGGAGTGAAGATGTAGAGTAACCTCACACAGTTTGGATTTCTGAGGTTACTTTTAAACTTTAAAACTTTTAAAGATGGAAGAAAGAAGAGAACTAGGCCTGCGGATTGCTATGGGTTTCACTGGAAGGTGTTTTGGTACGCACTTTCTCTCACCAATTAAAAAACCCACAAATAATGACTATATTAAATCTTACCATCATATCTTCTAGATAATAATTGCATTTACAATTTGTTCTGTGAAATATGAGCTTTAAAAAATCTTAGGGGAAGGTTCCACTTAGGGGGTAAACACGGTGGTATTCTCAATCAAGTGTCTGACCCTGTAGCCAGTAAAATGAGTCCATTGAAAACTATAAAATCACTTCAACATAAGTGCAGTCAGAAGGG